TGTAGAGAATGTTCTTCTCAAGCTACGATATCTAGATCTATATCTCACAATCCACAAAGCGTACCAAGAAGTACTGAAAAAGGTTAGTAAAATAGTTTTAAAACTTGATATTTAAGAGCTCGAAATCTCAAATAATATTTTGCAATTCTAGATTCTCCTTATTACGTTTTCGTAGCGCTTTCAATTGTGGTTATAGTGGTATCACAGATATTCAATGGCTTATTTTTTGTCCTGACCCGTGCAAAAACTTTTAAAAAAGCTAGGGTCGGGTGCGCGATAGCCAACAGCAAAATATTCGCGAAAACATTCAATATTTTCATTCGGGGCCGCTATCTTTTAATATTAGTGATACCACTATAACCACAATGGAAAGCGCTACGAAAACGTAATAAGGGGAATCTAGAATTGCCAAATATTATTTGGGATTTTGAGCTCTTAAATATCAAGTTTTAAAACTATTTTACTAACCTTTTTCAGTACTTCTTGGTACGCTTTGTGGATTGTGAGAGATAGATCTAGATGTCGTAGCTTGAGAAGAACATTCTCTACAAGTACAAAATGTCGGTCCGGTTATTTACGCACGCTAATTATTGAAAACGTCGAGAATTGTAACATTGATTAAAATGTTGTAAATTTGTATAATTTCTATTTAATGAACTGTCAAATAAAATTTCAGTAAGTAAGGTCATATAGTATATAGTATATAGTATATAGTATAGTGTCTATGACAAAGTCATAGCCGGAGACTGAATTCGTTGAAACGGCTGTAGCTAAATAAAAATCCCAGGTTTTAGCACAAATGCTAGTCCAGTCCATAATCCAGTCCATAATCCAGTCCATAATCCAGTCCATAGTCCAGTCCATAGTCCAGTCCATAATCCAGTCCATAATCCAGTCCATAATAGTCCAGTCCATAATCCAATCCATAGTCCAGTCCATAATCCAGTCCATAATCCAGTCCATAATCCAGTCCATAGTCCAGTCCATAGTCCAGTCCATAATCCAGTCCATAATCCAGTCCATAATCCAGTCCATAATCCAGTCCATAGTCCAGTCCATAGTCCAGTCCATAATCCAGTCCATAATCCAGTCCATAGTCCAGTCCATAATCCAGTCCATAATCCAGTCGATAATCCAGTCCATAATCCAGTCCATAATCCAGTCCATAATCCAGTCCATAGTCCAGTCCATAGTCCAGTCCATAATCCAGTCCATAGTCCAGTCCATAATCCAGTCCATAATCCAGTCCATAATCCAGTCCATAATCCAGTCCATAGTCCAGTCCATAATCCAGTCCATAATCCAGTCCATAGTCCAGTCCATAATCCAGTCCATAATCCAGTCCATAGTCCAGTCCA